TTAGTTAATCTTTATTGAGATTCACAGCCTGATTGGCAGGGCTGGTTGATAGTTCAACAGCTTAAGTGCTAACCAAGAACCTAGGAGCTGTTAAAGTAGTGTCGGACGATATAAGCTGTTTCAAGTAGGGTAGTTTTTTGTAGAATCAGGTTATTCAAGTCTGATAAATTCAGAATTTCTAAATAGTGAGGTAGCTCTTGAGGTATTGCTCCAAGGGCCCCAATTACAATTGGGATAACACATTATTGTTGTTGTTATTTATTATTATTATTATTATTATTATTATTATTATTATTATTATTATTATTATTATTATTATATTATCATCATCATTTTTGTGTTTGTTGTGTTTATTATGTTTATTACATAAACCATAACCACTCTGGTCATAGACCAGAGAAAATAAAAACACTCTAAATATACAATTTTTAGTATGATAGCTAAAATCTATGAGAAAATCCAGCCTGTCAAATTACACATGGTCTAACTATACTAAAATTACAATTCATAAACTGTGTCGCCCATAGTAAGTTTAATACTAAAAGAGACAGGAATAAGCAGTGCAAAGGGTTTGCCACATTTTTTGAATAAAATAGCAATGGTGGATTAGTCTTGTGTTTCCGACGAATCCCCCAATACTACTGTGCAGAATCTAACCACCTGCGCTGTAGTTATGGACACAATTGCTTAACAGCCGGTCATACGTTGAGGACTAGACTACACATAACATTTTTCCTCCCTGTGTAATTATCTTTTCAGGTACATACATCAATGCTCTCCGCATGTCCCACGGCCAGCGGGTAGATCTGAACGATGGAGACCTTCTGACTTTCGGCCATCCTAGCCCGGTGCCTGAGGGTTGCGTGTTGCCACCGCCCCACGGCAACTCTGAGTTTTATTTCCTCTTCCAGAAAGTCCGTGTTCGGCCGCAAGACTTTGCAGCTATCACCGAACCCAAAGCCCCATGGGCTTCTTCCTCTGGTTTCCGGCCAGTGTTGCCTTCCGACAACCATCGCATCCGTCCCCTGTCCCGTCATTCGCCCACCTCCCTCTCGTGCCGCCCCAAAGCCACCCTCATCCTCAGCTCCATCGGCAGCCTTAGCAAGCTGAAGCCCCAGCCCTTCACTTTCTCTCTGAGCCGGAGCCAACGCACAGATCCTCCCGCCCAGCCAAAACCATCCCGCAATCGCCGTAAGTCGGTTCATACGGTCCTTCCTGAACTGGAGGATGAAATTGCCCGTCTGGAAGAGGAACAGCCACCCCCAGATAAAGAGCAGCGCTTGGGGACTTATCGGTGTTGCCAGAGTAGCAGTTTGAGGCTCCAGCGAAGAGTGCAGGAAGGGAGCAAAAACACCCCGGAAGATGTAGAACCAAAGCTTCATATCACACCGAGCGGGTGAGTCCCTTTAAGTTCTATCAGGGGTGGGATTCTACCTGGTCGGACCGGTTCTATAGAACTGGTTGTTATGATTCTGCCCAGTTTGGAGAACCGGTAAATTGCGCCAACTGGCTGCCCCTGCCTCTTCCCTCCCTGCCTACTCACTCCTTACCTGGCATGCGCGCCATCAAACTCACCTGCTAAGTTGCTATTTTTCCTCTATTTTTCCCCCGACCATCAGCTGTTCTGCTGTGCCGGGAGATTTAGATTAGCTAGAAAGCAGGAAATCATTGGATTTCTTGCTTTTTAGCTAATCTAAAAGCAGAGCTGAATCGTCCTTAGGACCGAAGCTTCTATTTTTCAGTGCAGATTCTGGTAGCAGATTGCAGAAAGATAGATCTCTAAGTGAATCTGTGATTCTGTGAGCAACTCAATCTGCCTGCCTGCTTTGCCTGATTTTGGGTAAAAGTTGCTCTTTTTTTAATAAAAAAAATAAAAACCAATATTTACATACATGGTGTGTTGTGAGTTAATTTTGTGAGTTTGCTTGTAGCAAATTTTATGAGTTTATTTGCAAGCAAATTTTATGTGACAGACTCAGGTAGCAGATTGCAGAAAGATTGATCTCTAAGTGAATCTGTGATTCTATGAGCAACTCAAACTGCCTGCCTGCTTTGCCTGATTTTGGATAAAAGTTGCTCTTTTTTAAATAAATTAAATATTTACATAAATATTTACAATATTTACAAGCCATGCCCAGTCAGCAAGCCATGCCCAAGTCACACCCACAAATTAGGCCACGCCCACAGAACCGGTTGTTAAGAAATTTGAATCCCACCCCTGAGTTCCATGTTATATGCAACATTACTTTTCTTAAAGGAGCATCGTTAAAGATGCTGAGCGTGTCAGCTGGAAAACTGACAGACTGGGCTCGAGACCTTGCTCCTGCAAGGAGTGAGCTTCCGTTCCTTACTCCAGCTCCTGCCAACCTAACAGTTCGAAAGCATGCAAATGCAAGTAGATAAAACAGGTACCACTTCGGTGGGAAGGTAACAGTGTTCTGTGTGCCTTTGGTGTATAGCCATGCTGGTCAGATGACCAAAGAAAATGTCTTCGGGCAATGCTGGCTCCCTCGGCCAAGAAACAGAGATGAACACCGTGCCCTGGAGTCGGACACGACTAGACAGGGAAACCCTTACCGTTTTTTATTTCTCTGAACAAAATACTTCTGTCTGAGAGGCACCAGGCTAGAAACCCGGAAACTGAATTTTAGTCCAATCTTGGGCAAGAAAGCTAGCTGGGTGACTTTGGGTTAATCACCAGAAGGCTGTGAGTTCTACTCCTGCGTTAGGGATGAAAGCTGGCTGGGTGACCTTGGGCCAGTCACTCTTTCTCTACGCCCAATGCACCACCAAGGATGCCTGGCCTGGGAATGGAATGTGAAACTACTTTAAGAAGTGCCCAGCTTCAAAGCGTTTCCCAAAACACCAAGTAGTGATGCTATTGGACACTGTTGATCTGGTCCAGGGAGAGGGGCCAAGGAAAAGGGCAATACTTTTGCATGGCAATATTCAGATCTAGCCTTACTTTTGATGCAACTACTTGCCTTGGAACCTATCTCTTCAACCACATGGGAGTCGAGGGTCTTTCTTTCCTAAGGATCTAAGTTGGGGCAAGTCTGACACCATCTCGGGAATGCGCTTGGGTTCTCATGATGTGTTACAAATATGTCATCTCTGTTTTTTGGTTCTTTCCAGGAAGCGTCGTGGCCGGCCTCGGAAGAATCCTCTGGGGAGCGCTGCCCAGGTTTTCTCCCAGACTCTGTCTTCTCTGGAGCCATGTGCGGCTCCCCGGTGCCGCCTTCCCCAGGATGAGATAGTGGAGTGGGTTCAGTGCGATGGCTGTGACGCCTGGTACCACGTAGCCTGTGTGGGCTGCAGTTACAGTGTGATGAAAGAGGCAGATTTCCGGTGTGTTGCCTGCCGTTCATAAGGCCAGATAATCCTCCTCAGGATCCCATCAGTGACCGGAAAGAATTCTTTTAAAAATAAGATCCCCGATGTGGACTACTGAAAATTTGCACAGGGTAAGCTTTCCTTGGGAAGCAGGTATTGAATAGGGTGAACTGTGAGTACGTGCAAAGGAAACCCCGTAGATGGAATTGGGGTGAGCAACCTTTTACACGTAGTTATCCGTCCTGTTTCTTTGGAAATCATCGCCTTGCTGAGAAACACGCCAAGCAAGCATTTGTGGGAATGTATCATGCTGTCAATTGCTACCCGATAACCACCTGGAGAAAGTCAGTAAGAGCCTGAAGATCAATGAAATGGACCCATTTAGTGCAGAGTCCTCTCCTTGAGGCTCTCGTTTTTCAAGCCCTGCAGAAGATGCGCAGGGAAGAGTAATCCAGATTATCCGTTGACTTGGACAAACAAATTCATAAAACAGCCGAATATTCATTCCCAAGGTCAGACTGGCACCAGTTTTCTGATCGCACCAAATGGATCTGTGCCTTACTTGCAACGGGGGAAAAAGGCGTTTGTGGAAACCACCAGCTGCTTCCTGGAGGGTCAACCCTGTTGGCCCAAACACAGAAGAAGCAAACTTGGGAAGGCAGCACCTAGAATTGTTTCTCCGGATTTGAGATTTGGGGCTTTTCAAATCTTCACTAAGTTCACGTATGGGACGATTTTCCAAGAACAGGGTATATGCTTTGAAAGAGGGACACCTTCTGCTGTCTTCCTTAAGCCTTTGGGCTTGGTGCGATGGCAGATAAGGAAGCAAGCATGGAGTTAAAAAGACGAAGAAGTAAATGAAAAAAGACCCCCACGAGTTCTAAATCCCAGAGAGATGAATGGGTTTACATTCGAATTGATGAGGCTGAGGCTGGTACCATTCACCATCTGCTTTGTCCGTATTTAAAGCGCCTGCGTTTGCTTGAATGTTACACCAAAAGCAACCAGGAAGGAAAGATTTTTTTCTTTCCTCTTCCCTTTGCACCCTCTGTTCTTGCCTCCCGACACTGGGCTGAGTCTAGTGGGGAATAGAAGCGGAGGATTATTACTCTTAGCAATCGCTTTTTGGCTTTTAAAAAAAAGCTTCTTGCACTTTATAACGCAAATAAGGAAGAGACACACAATGGAGCGCTCCTTCTAATTTAACGTAGCTCCTCTTTAAAAGAAGCAGGCTGGCCCAGTATTTCTCAACCTTGGCTGCTTTTTTAAGATGTGCAAGCTTCCATTCCCAGAATTCATGGCTGGCTGGGGAATTCTGGGAATGGAAGTCGGCACATCTTAAAGCGGCCACGGTTAAGAAATACTAGTCTTGTGGCACCTTGGGAAGGCAAGTGTCCTGCTTTGTTGGTCTCAGAAGGTTCCTACAGCATTATCCTCAGGGTACGTTGTGTAGATTTGCAGGCGGAGAGTGAAGCTACTCTTAAGAAAATGAGAGGCAAGCAGCGAGCCTGGCGGTTTTCAAGGGAGACCAAATCCACAGGCCCTCCCGGATCAAACGATATCACAGGCCCCTCTTCTAGTCAAGATGGCAAACTGCCAAAGTTTAGACTCTCAAAAGTTTGTTGACCAGTGTTTTATTTGTCTAAGGGTTCTTTGCACCTGATAAAGGGGTGAAGTGGGGGGGTCAAGTTGCTGTTTTTTTTTTTTTAAAAAAAATATATCTTTCTTGAAGAATGCTCAGTAGCCTTGATTTCTAGCATGGAAACGGAAACCCATTTTTTAAAAATCCGCCCGTAAGCCTGTAAAGCAACGTGGCAGGTTTTCCTAAGAAACAGACAGATGTGTGCAGATGTGTATGCCCAAGGCCTCCCAGGTAGATGAGGCACTTCACTGAACAGAAAGCTGGGAGGGGTACCATTTCCCCTTGGGGGAGAAATTCTACTAGGTCCGTGATGGTGAACCTATGGGACGTGTGCCAGGGATGGCAGTGGGTATGTGCATCATCCCCAGATGCTCTTCTGGTTTCTGGTGTGCACATGTGCGTCGGCCAGCTGGTCTTCGTGGACGCCGGAGCACTGGAAAACGACATGAAAATCGACCAAAAAACAGGCCGTTTTCCACGCCTTTTTCAGGCCACTTTCAGGCTGGGTTTTTTGAGCCAAAATGGCCAGAAAACGGCCCCCAAAACAGCTGGAAAACAGCCTGAAAAATGGCCAAAACCAGGCCATTTTGGTCTGAAAATGGCCTAGAAAAAGGCCCCCCAAATGGCCCAAAAACAGGCATTCGCACATCAGCCAGCTGGTCTTGTGTTTTCCAGCGCTCTGACACGCACACACGCACACAAATGCACACACATTCCGGTTTGGCTCGGTGCAGAAAAGGTTCGCCATCACTGTACTACGTAGTTAGATCAGTGCCAGGGAATCTGTTGGACAGCAGGTCCCAACCTCCCTCAGCGATAACATCTGGGGGCTACACAACTTGGAACGAAGCGAACCGAATCTTCCAGCTTAGGAGTCAAGCCACAGAATGAGGAATCTTCAACCTGGGGAAATGCCAGAAGCAGGCGCCATTTTGGGGGGGGGGGGAATCTGTTCAAATGCCAAATACAAGCCTTCTAGCAAAAGAAATAACAAGATTTAAAAAATGGAACCCGTCTCGAAAAAGGATGTTTGCCATAAACCAGAGTTTCTGCCTTGTTTTCTGAAAATGTCTCAACTTAAAGCACTTTGCAGTTAAAAAAAGGCAGGCGATTCTTAAGCTTCCGTCCTGTTTCCATTCACTATCCGGCTTCACTATCCGGCTTAGCAGCAGCACGTATGCTCGCATTTGCCGCCTCTACCGGCTCTGGGGGAAAAAAATCTGCTTTTTAATATGCCAAAATGAAAAATAAGCTACTCCTGTTAGGTTCACAGGGAAATTGCTGCCACAGAAGCCAACAAGAAAATCAACCAAAGACTTCTGTAGGTTTAGGAAAGGGGCATTCATTTTTATTATTATTATTATTACTATTCTTGTGCACTTGGCAAGGTTGTTTTTGTCTTTTTAGGGGGAAGGAAGGAAGGATATCCTTTTCCTATTAAAAAAAATGTTTCTCATCTTGCAACAGGCTTGATCTTAGCATTGAAATAAACCTAAATTGCAAACTTAATGGCTGCGTAAATGTCATAAGGCTGATGTGTTCAAACTAAATTCTCTTTCCTTTCCTTGAAAAGGATTGTCAACTCATAAAACATTTTGTATACACGTTTTATAGTTGACAACAGAAAGAAGGGGGTGGGAGTTTCAAAGAGCAGACAGCAGTGTGGAATCGAAAGTACATTCCATTCATATTTTCCTCAGTGACTGATTAGAGGGCTGAAGCTTCTGCCAGGGAAAAATCTAATTGGAGAGCATAATCAATGACTCTTGGCTATGGACGTGTTTCATTGGATGATACACCCGAGGGGTGGGCTGGGGGAAGCAGGATCAAGGGTGACAGTGAATTACACATCTCAAGAGTTAGCTACACCCAGGTTAGTGCCGGATGGAGAATGGTAGCTTCCTCATTAGTTTTGGGAGTGTGGCTCGAGGCTCATGATTTAATTGGAGTAACTGCCAGAACCCTGACAATGATCTTACGGCAGTAGAATTACGGGGGTTTCACCTGTTGAAAGAACGCTCAACATTACAAAAGTTCACAATTACAGGTGGTCCTTGACTTACGACCACAATGGAGCCCAACATTTCTGCTGCTAAGTGAGACAAATTGTTAAGTGAACCTTGCCCCACTTTATGACCTTTCTTGCCCCATTTGTCGACTGAATCACTGCAGTTGTTGAGTAACATGGTTGTCAAAGGAATCTGGCTTCACCATTGACTTCGCTTGCCAGAAGGTCGCAAATAGTGATCACATGACCCCAGGACACTGCAACCATCATAAATACGAGGCGGTTGCCTGCATCACAACCATGGGGATGCTGGAACTGTCATAAGGGTATAAAACAGTCATAAGTCACTTTTTTTCAGGGCAGTTGCAACTTCCAACAATGACTCTTGGCTATGGACGTGTTTCATTGGATGATACACCCGATGGGTGGGGTGGGGGAAGCAGCCATGTTCTAAGTCGAGGACTAACTGTATAGAAAACTAAATGTGCTGCACACTGCATTCCTCCTTCACCCCAAAATATAGGCGTCTGGATTCAGAGAGGTGTGGATAAACAATGTGGAAGGACAATCATGTTAATCTACAGAGCGGTATTGTAAGCCATAAAATCTATGGCCACAAGGTTTAGCCTAAGGTTGGAGTAACCACTGATGCCTTGATTTGCAACAGTGATCCCATAACCAGCGCTGGTGTTGCGTACAAACTAGGCCAGGGGTTATCAAAACTCAAGGTCCGTGGGCTGGATCCATCCCCTTAGATCTGGCCCATGGGGCCCGCCTTGGAAACAGTGAAGGACCGGCACATGGTGCATCTGCCAGAGAAAACAGCTTGGGAGGGGCGCATGCTTGTGTTTTCGGCTGCGATGACCTGCAACCCTCTGCCAGTTAAAATCAGAGTTTTGGGAGGCCGCACACAGGCCGCCCAGTTTAGATTTTAGATATTTTTAGATACTAGATATTTAGATTTTAGCACAGCATTCGACAAAGTAGACCACAACCTACTTCTTTGTAAGTTGGAAAAAAGTGGAATGGATAGCACCACCACTATGGACTCGCAACTGGGTGGCAAATTGTACTCAACGAGTAGTCCTTAATGGGTCTAAGGTCTACATGGAGGGAAGTAAGCAGTGGGGTGCCACAAGGTTCCGTCTTAGGCCCAGTGTTCTAGTCTGTCAAGATCCATCTGGATCTTGAGCCTATCT